TACTACTACCTTCTAAAGATGTACTAGTCGTTTTTAAGCCTGCTTTTAACCAATACAATTTTTGTATATTCGGTTCAGGTGGTCAGAGTACGCTTGCCGGAGAGACAGACGCCTTATCCTTGCAGTTGGGGCCTCATTCTGTCTACCTCAGCGACCTAGGAGGGAATAGCATCTTCCACTTGAACAACCAGTCACCAAGTCACCAACAGGCGGCCCGAGATCGAGGCTTCCTTGAGGCGGAGACCATTGGCAGCCTCAGAAGGTGGCGCCAGTCAACTGAGGCTATCGAGAGTCAAGCCTGCCAGCGAATGCTGTGCAACCAGGCGACTGTACCGAGCGTCAAAGGAAAAAGTGACAAGTTCTTCCCGGCACCAGACCCTATTGCACTCATACTGCCCAGCCTCACCTTTGAGGTTGCCAGGGCGCCTGCTCTGATACGTGGTGACGGTGAACCGCAACGCGTCACTCTGGGCATCATTGACACACATCCGAGCCTTGAGTACTTTGCAATGCCTAGACGAGTCCCAAAAGCCTTTCTTAAGGCAGAATGCATCAACTTGTCGCAGATGGCGCTTCTCGAGGGTCCCGCAAATGTTTACATAGACTCCTCGTTTATCGGAAAGGTGGGTTCATGTGGTCTGGCTTTATCAAAATATGTGCTTTCCCAGCTTCCAATAGTATACAAAAGAAGGTTGTGTCTCGGAAAATTTTCAAAAATGTGTACCAACTTGTCTCTTTCCTAAAGTTTTCGTCGTGGTCATTTCAAGTTTAACAAGTTTTTATGTAGTTTTTATACAGTAGACAAATTTATGTACTGCTTTCCGTGGGACCTTAGTATAATAGGAAGAAGCGCCCAAGTGCAACGTTCGAGAAGAAGACTAAAAATCTCTTTCGAAGTCTGGGTATTATGTGTAATTCAAACAGTGGACTATGCAGGATACAAAAGCCCACAAAATTTATAGGCGGACTTAGAAGATGAGTCGATAGGACTTTATTGTTTCAAAATATTTGTTGAAAAATATTTAACGAATTCTGTATACATCTTTGGACTTCTCATCAGCCAAATTCAATCCTTATATTGATTGCAATTTTCACAAATCATCGATGTAGTATGGTTGTCGATTATGCGGACTTGTGATTGCCATTATACTCGATGATAGTATTATATGCCGACTGAGGCAGTTTGGAAACAATCATCGACCTAGGGTGTCAAGGTCTACCAATATTCACGAAGCATACTCATTTGGAATATAGTAGTATCGTCGAATATAAGCTTTATCGGCACTTCCACCACAAATGTGATTTAGAAAATGCCGGGTAGGCCTTGAAAGTCACATTTGTCCTGTGACCCACTGGATTCCTTTACTCTGTGGCAGATCTCGTTTGAGGTGTTGTTGAGGACGAAGCGAGGCTAAAATTGAGATCCAGTTTGAATGGAGACAAGTTTGATGGACACGGCTAAGTGAAATTTGATGATATCCTAAGGCCTATGCTTAACATCGTTAAAAAGTCATTAATCAGCCTATTACTCATCTTTATTAACCTAGAATGACTTGGCCCATAACGAAATATCTTCTATTCTTAAAAGTATGTTAATGGTATTTGCCGGTGACTTTCTTGGTCCATTATTTAAAATTAAAAGTCCGTAAAGCCAAATAGAGAATTTAGAGTAATTATGTTAAATATTTACATTTCCTCTGAGGATAAAGTGTCTCAACTAACGTATTTGCCTCACCTGTTTCTATTCTACAAGCTCATGATATCTACTTGGGAAAATTAAACTGACAAACATTGCAATTTATAAAAGCCCCATAGACACCTAATTCAATTAATGCCCTGTTTTATAAAATAATTTTGTAGTTATCATTGTTCAAACTGAGATTTCCCAACATGTATTTCGTAGATCAGTTTCACCGAAAAGGTTAAACTGATAAGATTTCCAAAGTCGACTTAGCAAGATTATGTAACAATGACTAGCATTAAAGATCGCCAAAGCTAGGAGGTAATACAAAATATTGTGGCATGACTTCATTTCAAAGGAAAAGTTGGTTTAAAGGAATTCGTGATGTGGTCTCACTGAAAACCGAAGGAGGATTGTCGCGTAAGGACTACTGTTGAATTATGCGAAGAAGTCCTCGGCTCACTGTCCTGCGACCTCGATAAAACTGTGCTAAGCTTTCGTCTATACCACCCTGAGAGACATCAGAGCAATATTCCATACATTGCTACTTCAAACTTACTCTGCATGCTGTAAATGAGTGAAGTTGCTTCCCGAACCGGAAGTAGTAGATATTTCATCACACAAAAACTAGAGTACGATCGCCTAATGCTGATTCATGTTGGGGCTATGCTATTGTCTAATGTGTATATGTAATGCTCATGTCATGGGAAATGTGATAGTCTTAGTTAGACTCGAAGCTAATCCAGCCTCCTTCTGTTGTTCAGTCGTTCTTCCTGCACCCCCTCTCTCTCCCTTACCTTAAGTCTATTCAAAGTCACAGAAAGTTACTACTTAATTTTCTACACTCATTTCTCCTATTCAGGACGTTGTTTTGTTAATTTATATAGACTCTCTAATCTTACGCTTTGTCGTGAGCTTCCCGTTACCTGCAAAACGTTGTATTTTGGACCAGTTTATCAAGTGTCCTGTATTAATCATACCTTCGGCGAGCTCAGATTTTTGGGCCCACAGACCTTTACAAGCGATTTTGCGTTCGCATAGTCTCTTGTAAATGGGTCGACAGGTCTCCCCCGCAAAGATCTTACCACATGAGCACAAAACCTTGTAGCAGCCTGATCTAAAAAAAGGGTCTGAATATTCTCTAAACGAAGGAACTACTGAAGAAAGTGTTAATTTCTCTTTATACATTGTTCTTATGCTCCATTTCCACAGAAATTCACCCAACTTTTCCTCAAGCTGATGGGAAAGCAAAATCAGGAACCTAGTAGAATTGTCCAGTTTTCTATCTTGCGCCTGATAGTAAACGCCCTTCATCTTGTTAACCCCTGTTTGTATGTAATTGTCTACTAATTCTAATTGGTATTTGTTTTGAAACAGTATTTCCCAATCAATCTATCTTCTGGTCCATATGGTTTGCATTTACTAGACGCAGACTCCTTATTATAAAAGACCTCATAACTCCTATTTTTACTATATATGTATGGTTCGAGAATTAATTATGGTCGTGTTCTCATTCGGTTTATATAAGTTGATTGACCATGTTTTAGGAACTTGGTCATCATACCTATAGGAACGCACCTAGTCCTGAGTCCATAGTATGCGTGATAATTTCAAGAGTATGAACGTTGACTTGGTACATTCCCAGATGTTTGGCCGGCATCGTAGTCAGCATCGTCAATGAGCATTGAAACTCTTAGCACCACACAAAAACTGGGCAAAAAGACAAGTGAAGTCGATCCTTTGACCAAAAGTGTGCTGAACAGTTGTGGTATATCTCCTTTTGTCTTGGGCTATTCACCTATCCTATATCCTCGTATCACACCTTCAATATCACAATTTCCTACTTGTTTATCTAGACCTATTTGAAATCTATTCACATTCTCCGCTGGTTTCCTCATCCCTCCCACTGTGTTGGGATCATTGATTCATGGCTGCGCTTCAACATGATATCCTCTCTTTTCGGGTCATATCAGAGTCCCCTCTTGTTCCGTAGGATCCTTCCCTTATTTGCCTGTTTCAGTGAATTTATACAAACTCTGCCACCGTATCCATGCTACTTTCAAGA